TGGGCTAAAGAAGAATGGTTAAAAGAAAAATATTCAGAAATCGAAAGATTGAGTGTAACATGGAAAGACGATATGCATAAAAAATGGTAAGAGAATAAAGAGGACAAAAGGTATCAACAGAACTGCATAAAATCCAGGGACGGAGCAGTGATATTAGAACAAGAAAAACATAATACATCACTAGAACAGATGCATCGAAGAACTGTTCCACGACCAAAGAGGACAACAGGTAATATAGAGAAAGATAAAAGGATTAGAAATATTCAAATCTGAAATGGAATCAGCAACGGACAAAACTGAACAGAATCAGGACCAGACGGAATCGTAATAAGAAGCTACGTGCAAACGAATTAGAATTCCATCGGAGAATCAGTCTAACCGAATATAAAACAAAATTTACCATCCAAATTCTGATAAATAACAGAATTAGTCCATAAATAGGACAAGAACGATGTTAATGACACTGGAACAAGGAATGCCGGAAAAAGTAATACAAATGAAGAAGGATATGCACCAGTTTCATTATAGTTTATGCAAAATAATTGGAACTGCTAGGTAACCTTGACATATTTGAGAAGGATATTAGAAAAATCCAGAACATTTACTGGCAGCAAACTACATTGTATACCTTCAAGTACAGATAAAATGTATTGTTGGTCATTTTACTATAAATATGTATTATTGGTTGGTTGATTTTGTTTAGCGGCATATCAACACCTCTATGGGTTATTTAGAAATAAAATTTTGTATTTTATGGTCAACTTTATTTTGAACGCAATTGTATGCAAATATGTATTGTTGGTCATTTTACTACAAATATGTATTGTTGGTTGGTTGATTTTGTTTAGCGGCATATCAACACCTCTGTGGGTTATTTAATGCCGAAATCTAAAGATTTTGAACACAATTTTATGGCTTCAACTAAATATATTTTGAACGCAATTTTATGTCTACAACTACAGATAAAATGTATTGTTGGTCATTTTACTATAAATATGTATTGTTGGTTGGTTGATTTTGTTTAGCAGCATATCAACACCTCTATGGGTTATTTAATGCCGAAATCTAAATATTTTGAACAATTTTATAACTTCATCTAAATATATTTTGAACGCAATTGTATAAAATATATTTTTGATCATTTTATTATAAAATGAATTGCTGGTCATTTTGATTTAAAATTGTATTGTTCGTAATTTTACTATAAATATGTATTTTTACACATTCATAGTGTTTTGACTCGAGTTTGGGTGTTAACTATTTGCCCATAGCTGGACCCTAACAGGTGCTACCAACCTGTGTTAGGGTGGATCTGGGAACACCAGCAATAATGAAGTGGTTCCACGCTCATCAAAACCTCATGATTAGAAGCTTTGCTGCCGGATGTCGTTTATCGTCATACCCAGGACGACGTTGTGTGTGTGTGTGCGTATGTATTTGTGAGTGTGCATATTTGCTATTTGTGTGTCTGTGCATGAGCACTTGTATACGTACCTGTGCGTTAGCGCCGGCTGATTCAAGCCTTACAGCGGTCAATAATCGACCATGCGTGGATTGTTTCTTGTCCGTCTTAAGCGTTCTGACGCGATTACCGCAGTCCCGAACAGCAGCCGCGTAAATCATGTCGCTAGCATTTTGGGCCCGACTTGCAACTGGCCTTTGATCTCCTGCCTTCACCACCACCCAGGAGAATCGACGACGATTAGCCGACAATAAAACACTTCAAGGACGGCGCATATAATCTGAAATTGAAACTCTCAAAGGGTAATGGCACTTGGGAAGGAGAAGGATGTCTAAAATCTTGGTTGAGTTGCCGATTTTAATAATAGTCATATGAACGGTCTAAGAACTGATGGCAGTAAGAACTCCTTTATTTTTTTTCTACTTTTTACTAATCTCCAGCCAATACAAATTCCAAAATCTCAAGATAGAAGGTCACTAAATGAGGTGCATGATAATGATTGATTGATTTGTTTTTTATGGCTTATCAACCCTTTGAGGGATACAAGTCTTACTCATTAAAACATAGCTGGACGGAGGAGAGGGGGTCCCATATTTATAACTCTAGTCACGAATTAGGCCCAACTTAGTAAAAAAAATAAATCTCGACCTTCTGTTTTGGTTAACAAGTTGTTCATTAATACTGAGTGCGATTTTCAGTGGATGTCCCATATTTTTGTTAGTTGGTTGATTTTGTTTAGCGTCATATCAACATCTCTGTCGGTTATTTAATGCCGAAATCTAAATATTTTGAACACAATTTTATGGCTTCAACTAAATATATTTTTGAACAAAATTGTATGCCTTCAAATATAGATAAAATGTATTGTTGGTCATTTTATTATAAATATGTATTGTTGGTTGGTTGATTTTGTTTAGCGGCATATCAACACCTCTATGGGTTATTTAATGCCGAAATCTAAATATTTTGAACACAATTTTATGGTTTCAACTAAATATATTTTTGAACAAAATTGTATGTCTTCAACTATAGATAAAATGTATTGTTGGTCATTTTATTATAAATATGTATTTTGGGGTTGATTTTGTTTAGTGGCATATCAACACCTCTATGGGTTATTTAATACCGAAATCTAAATATTTTGAACACAATTTTATGGCTTCAACTAAATATATTTTTGAACAAAATTGTATGCCTTCAACTATAGATAAAATGTATTGTTGGTCATTTTATTATAAATATGTATTTTGGGGTTGATTTTGTTTAGTGGCATATCAACACCTCTATGGGTTATTTAATACCTCTAAATATTTTGAACACAATTTTATTTAATAAATATATTTTTGAACAAAATTGTATGCCTTCAACTATAGATAAAATGTATTGTTGGTCATTTTATTATAAATATGTATTTTTAGGGTTGATTTTGTTTAGTGGCATATCAACACCTCTAAATATTTTTTGAACACAATTTTATGGCTTCAACTAAATATATTTTTGAACAAAATTGTATGCCTTCAACTATAGATTTTTGTTGGTCATTTTATTATAAATTATTTGGGGTTGATTTTGTTTAGATTTTTTTTTTATAATAATTTTGAACGCAATTGTATGCCTTCAACTTTTGTATTGTTGGTCAGTTTGTTGGTTGGTTGATTTTTTTTAATATCAACAATGTTATTTAATGCCGAAATGAACGCAATTTTTAACCCAATAATAATGTTTTGGGGAGATGGGGGGAGAAGAGGCGGATTCATACCTGTCTCACATTTATGACACTCAGCCCAAACTAAGCTAAACTTAGTAAATAAGGGTTATCTCGTCATTGCGTTATAGTTAACAAATTCGTCATTAGTACTGAGTTCAGTCGCTTCTAATTGCCGCATACTTTTTGTTTGGTTGGTTGGTTAGTTGTTTTTGTTTAGTGGCATATCAACACCTCTATGGGTTATTTAATGCCGAAATCTAAATATTTTATACGTTTTTTTTATTTTATTATTTACGCTTTATTTTATTTATTTTAATATTTACACTTTTTTATTGATAATTACTAATTAAGCCCTCGTTGATGGGGAGAAGGTATGAAAAAAGTACCGTAACAACCGATCGGACTCGGAGATCATCAGCGGGTAATGAACAACCCTGCGCGATGCAATGACACCAAACAGCTGAAAAAGTGCTTGAGTTCCAGGAAAGAGAAAAATCAGGTCTGGTTCAACGAGTATCAGTAAGAAATTAACCCAGTCGATTAATGAAAAACAAGAATCACGCATGGCTTTCGGGAATCTCCCCTCAGTTGAAAAGAAAAAGATCAGTCAGGAGGCAATGAAAAAATGCCGGAGACAACAGCGTGCAATGCAGTGGGAATCCATCAATATGCGAACCAAAGGGATACCCGTCACTTTTATGCATTCAGGAAGGAAATCTTTGGCCCCATCAAATCAACGATGACAGGCCTTATTGATTCGGACGGTAGCATCATCCTTACTGATCCTGAGTCTATCCTTGGAGCGCCTGGAAAATCCACTTCCAGAGCATTCTAAACGGCCACAAAACCACACCGGACGACACCCTGCGAAACATCCCAGCTGAGATTGGATGTAACATCCATCAATATTCCGTAAATTGAAAGAAGAACCCCGCTTCTTCAGACGGATTCCTCGAACTGAAAAACCAGAAAATCTAGGAAAACATCCCCTCCTGGAATTTTTCTCCGACGGATTCCTCGAACTGAAAAACCAGATACAGAAAATCTAGGAAGTTAACATGACACCCGGTAAACCTCCTGGAATTTTTCTCCGACGGATTCCTCGAACTGAAAAACCAGATACAGAAAATCTGGGAAGAGAAAACAGTTCGTGAGAACTGTAAAAATGATAACATTGTGATGATCTTCAAAAAAAAAGGTGACCGCTCACTCTGCGAAAATATTTTCCTCCTAAGCATTGCCGGCAAGATCTTTGTGCGAATACTACTGAATCGACACCCCCCGTGGCAAAAGAAATCCTTCCAGAATCCCAGTCTTCGAGAGGTACTGTCCACATGGTCTTCTATGCGCGACAGCTCCAGAATAAGAGACGTGAGCAGCAAAAGCCATTAATGCTCATCTTCTGAGATCTCCAGAAGGCCTTCGACAAAGTCACAAGACCAGCAATATTGATCAATGTTGCCCACTTTGGTTGTTTGGCTCGCTTCGTGTCTCTAATCCGTACGCTCCACGGCGGAATGGAGGACTAGGTGAACCATCGGGACGCGTTTCCAATCACCAGTGACCTTAAATAGGGTTGTGTGTTAGTTGCGACACTCTTCTCCCTGTACCTCGCCGGCATGATCAACGAGATCCTTCTGGCAGCACAAGTGTTGGCATCCGATACAGACTAGACGGCGGACACTTCAACATCGCTCGACTACGTTCTCGTACACTGAGAACAACCACCTGCATACGAGAATTAAAGCATGCTGAAGACAATACAACTACGCACCAGACTGCTATTAACCTCCAGAGATCGACAAAACTGTAAAAACGAGACCTGTTAACGCTTCGGGATGCAGGTCAATGACAAAAAGACGAAGATCCAGCAACACTGGACGTCAGCATCAACATCGACGGGTAGCCGGTAGAAGTCGTCGACAAATTTCCCTGCTTTGGCACCATCAGCTCGAATAATGTCACCTGCGAAAGAGACCTTGACAACCGGATCAAATTCGGCTCATACTGCGTACGGGACGCTCTCGCAGCGGATCTTCAACAATCACGCCTTCTAAATAAGAACTATGGCACTCCAGGCCGTGGTCCATTCTGCCCTACTGTACGCTTGCCGGACATCAAACATTTGAGGCGTTTCCAACAAACGAAGCTCCGAAGAATCCTTCACATCAGTTTGAAGGACTGCATCACTTAGAGATCTCTCCTCAGCATCGAGGTTACCCTTCTTCAACATCGTCTCTGCTGGGCGGATCACGTGTCCAGAATACGTCCCACTGGACTCCTACGTATTATCCTCTTTGTAGAGTTCACTATCGGCAAGATGCTACGCAGAGGCCCAAAATGATGCTTCAAGGATCAGTTGAAGATATCCCTGACACAGGCCAAACTCGATCCTGAGATATGGGAAACCGTTACTGCAAATCGGCCGTCCTGCCGTAGGATGCACTCGCTGGTGATTTTAACACAAATAATCCAATCGAGCCAACCTCTGACGCCTTGTATGGTAACCTGCCGTAAAAGAAGCCATTGATGAAAATAATTTACCTTTGCTAGTAGGAGAGTCTCGTTGTTTAATTTATTTTCAAAAATTCCACACCCACGATCAGGTTCCTTGGAATTTGGGTTACGGAGACCTTTGAACCTTGTTGCTCCATTATTGCAGGTAGCGAAGAAACACAGGTAGCAAAGTTTCAGAGTCACAAATATGTAGGTGTGTCACTGCTCTAACCAGCAGGTAAATATAGACAAGCCAGTAGAGAAATTGGGATACGTGTATAGACCTACGAAAATGGAAACACTGGAAAATGGAAAAGCAGTAAAAATGGAAACACGGAAAAATGGAAACACTGAAAAATGAAAACACTGAAAAATGGAAGCACTGGAAAATGGAAACACAGAAAAATGAAAACACTTTGAAAAGGAAAACGTGAAAAATAAATACACTGAAAAATGGAAACACTGGGAAAAGGAAACACTGAAAAAGGGAAACACTGAAAAAGGGAAAGAGTGGGAAATGGAAACACTGAAAAGTGGAAACACTGGAAAATGGAAACAGTGGGAAATGGACACACTGGGAAATGGAAACACTGGAAAATGGAAGCACAGGGAAATGGAAACACTGAAAAATGGAAAAAGTGGGAAATGGAAACGCTCAAAATGAAAACAGTGGGAAAAGGATACACTGAAAAATAGAAACACTGAAAAATGGAAACACTGGAAAATGGAAACGCTGGAAAATGGAAATACTGAAAAATGGACACGCTGGAAAATGGAAACAGTGTGAAATGGAAACACTGAATAATGTAAACACTGAGAAATGGAAACATTGTAAAATGGAAACACTGAAAATTGAAAACACTTGAAAAATGGAAACACTGGAAAATAGAAAAAATGAAAACTGCAAACACTGGTAACTGGAAAAACTGGGAAAAAGAAAAAACTCTGAAAAATGGAAACAGTGGAAAACGGAAACACTGGAAAATGGAAACAGTAGGAAATGGAAACACTAAAAAATGGAAACACGAAAAAAATGGAAGCACTGGGAAAGGGAAACACTGTAAAATTGAAACAGTGTGAAATGGAACAGTTGGAAATGGAAACTCTGAAAAATGGAAACAGTAAAATGGAAACACTGAAAAACGTAAACTCTAGGAAATGGAAACACTGCAAAATGTAAACACTGAAAAATGGAAACACTGAAAACTGGAAAAACTGGAAAATGGAAACACTGGTAAAATGAAAAAACTGGAAAATGAAAACACTGGGAAATGGAAACATTGGAAAATGGAAACATTGGAAAATGGAAACACTGAAAAATGGAAACACGGGGAAATGGAAACACTGAAAAATGAAAACACTCAGAAATGGAAGCACTGAAAAATGGAAACACTGAAAAATGGAAACAGTGGGAAATGGAAACACAGAAAAATGGTAACACTGAAAATGAAAACACTGTGAAACGGAAAAACTGAAAAAATAAATACACTGGAAAATGGAAACACTGGGAAATGGAAACACTGGGAAATGGAAACGCAGAAAAATGGAAACACGGAAAAATGGTAATCCTGGGAAATGGAAACACTAGAAAATGGAAACACTGAGAAATGGAATCACAGAAAAATTAAAACACTGTGAAATGGAAACACTGGAAAATAGAAAAACTTGAAACTGGAAACACTGGTAACTGGAAATACTGGGAAAAGGAAACACTGAAAAATGGAAACAGTGGGAAATGAAAACACTGAAAAATGGAAACACTGGGAAATGGAAACACTGAAAAATGAAAACAGTGGGAAATGGAAACACGGGAAAATGGAAACAGTGGGAAATGGATACACTGAAAAATGAAAACACAGCGAAAAGGAAACACTGAAGAATGGAAACACTGAAAAATCGAAACACTGGGAAATGGAAACACTGGAAAATGGAAAAACTGAAAAATGGAAACATTGGGAAATGGAAACGCTGGAAGATGGAAATCTGTGAAATGGAAACACTGAAAAATGGAAATGCCTATAACTAGCATCAAAAAGAGACAGCTGAAATTTCTAGTTTACATAATGAGGAAAGAAGACTTGGAAAATTTAACACTCTCAGAATATGTTGAAAAAAAACAGGAATGGAGGAAAGCAGCCCCAAACCTTCCCAACGAGCTAGTAGAAATGGTTGGCAGATCAGGGATATAAACAAAAAGAAGTTGAAGAGGATCATGATCGCCCACGTCCTGATTGGCAAGACTCGTAGGAGAATGAGTTTGTATAAATGGTTGGAAAACGGATTAGAAGATATAACAAAAGACAAACATTGCTAAGGGATACAAAAGAAAGGAATTTGTGGAGGGCCATGATCGCCAACGTCCTGAGGGGACACGGCATATAAAAGACTACAATTGCAAAAAGAGTGCAATTAGGTTACTTGTGTTCAAGTAACTGGAAGTTATTCTTTTATGTACCGTGTTTCGATGATAGCCCTCCACAACTTCCTGTCCCTTGTAACCCGAAAAATGTTTGATGACTTACTATATCTGTGTCTCAGCTATGCCATTCGATGCCTCTTTGACCTGAGTGTAAATCAGACCTAAGTTTACCTTTTAACTAGAGCGTAAATCAGACCTATAGCTAACATTTTGACTCAAGTATAAATCAGATCTATGTCTACATTTTTGACAGGCGCGTAAATCAGACTAATGTCTACCTTTCTGACTCGGATGTAAACCAGAGCTATGTCTACCCATTTAACTAGAGCGTAAATCAAACCTATGTGTACATTTTGTCTCCCGTATAAACCAGACCTATGTCTACCTTCTTAACTAGAGCGTAAATCAAACCTATGTGTACCTCTTAAACTCGAATGTAAATCAAACCTGTCTACCTTTTTGACTCGAGTGTAAATCAGACCTATGTCTACATTTTGTCTCCCGTGTAAACCAGAGCTATGTCTATCTTCTTGATTCGAGTGTAAAACAGACCTATGCCTAGCTTTCTGTTGTTTATCAAAACGACATAATTTGAAATTAAATAACTCGGAAAAGTTTGACATGCAGTAAATAAAAACAAATCGAACAGATATTTTTTATCTGCCCATTTTTTATTCGGGCGTTTTCATCCTTTTTTTTTTCCTGCTAATCTTTCGCACGATTTTCCTTGTATTTTTTGTCTGGTTTTTTTTTTTTTTTTTTTTTTCTTCCTAATTTTCCCAGTAGCGGAGAGATGTTTATAATCGGACTGGCTGTTTATAATTACAGAGGCTATAACTTTGTCTTGTAACGTGACGCATTTGTTTCAGGTTAGATTTTTCGGTGGGTGAGGGAAAGGCTTTAAAGATTACGATGGAATAATCGAACATGCGATTGAGCATCGGATCCTGTTGACCCCTAAAAGCACATATACATCTGTTGCCGGGTAACAGTGGCAATTGTGATGAATCTGATTTTGGTCAGACAGTGTGTATTATGTTATATTGATAGACGGTTTACATCCATTTTTTTTATTCTTTACTTTCCTTTTAATCGCAAGTGTTCTTTTCTATATTTAAATCCTTTTACGCACTTTTCTTTTCTTTTTTTGTTTTCAATAGCAAGTGTTCTTTTCTATATTTAAATCCTCTTTCTTTTCCCCTCTTTACACTTTTTTTCCTTTCTTTTTTTTCTTTTCAATTTTCTTTTCCTTCCTTTTCTTTTTTTCTTTTTTTGTTTTCTTTCCTTCCTTTTCTTTCCTTTTAATCGCAAATGTTCTTTTCTATATTTAAATCCTCTTTCTTTTCCCTCTATACACTTTTCTTTTTCTTTTTTGTTTTCTTTCCTTTCTTTTCTTTCCTCATTCTTTCTTTTCTTTCCTCAATCGCAAGTGTTCTTTTCTGTATTTAAATCCTCTTTCTTTTCACTCTATACACTTTTCATTTTCTTTTTCTCTTCTTTCCTTCCTTTTCTTTCCTTTTAATCGCAAGTTTTCTTATCTATATCTATATCCTCTTTCTCTTCCCTCTATACACTTTTATTATTTCTTTTTCTCTTCTTTCCTTCCATTTCTTTACTTTTAATCGCAAGTCTTCTTTTCTATATTTATATCCTCTTTCTTTTCCCTTTCTAGACATTTCTTTTTCTTTTTTGTCTTCTTTCCTTCCTTTTCTGTCCTTTTACTTACCAGCGTTCATCTTTTCAGCATTTATTTCAATCTCTTTAATTTTCTATTTCTCTTTTTCGCCATTGTTTTCTTTCTATTCAATTCTAATATTTTATTTTAACTCCGTTCTTCTTTTCTTTTTACATTTGTTTTACTCTTTCATTCATTAATTCAGTCAAGTGTGTGTCTTTGCCGTCGGTGTTATCGACGGATCGTTACGTTCTTTCCTCGGGCGGGTAATTATCATTGCATTGATCGATTCGAACTAATGTTCTCATCTTGGTTTCTCCTATTTCTGAGATGAGGAATTATTATTATTATACATTGATCTACCCAGACGAGTGTCCTCATCTTGGTTGTTATAGTCACAACGTTTCTCCTATTTCTGAGATGAGGGATTAGCATTATTATACATTTACCTTTCTCATTTTTGCTAAACATAGATAGATAGATAGATAGATAGATAGATAGATAGATAGATAGATAGATAAGGATTCAGATAGATAGATAGATAGATAGATAGATAGATAGATAGATAGATAGATAGATAGATAGATAGATAGATAGATAGATGATTGAATTGATTGTGCATGTGTTTGTGATTTTGTTTTTATTGATGTATCATTCTATATATAAGTTCTTAGGTGCCTCCCAGGCTTTATTCCTAGTAAAATGTGCACAATATATATATATATATATATATATAGATAGATAGATAGATATATATATATATATATATATATATATATATATATATATATATATATAGATAGATAGATGAGAGAGAGAGAGAGAGAGAGATCTTTTCAAATTTCTGATCCATTCATTTTATCATCTGTTTATATTTCTATCTGTCTACCCATTTTTCTCTCTATTCTCTTCCATTATCCATATCATTTCTTTAAACTACTCTTTTTCCCCACCTTTCTCTTTTGACATTGCCGCCATTTTTCCCTCTTCCATCAATTCCTTATTTTTTTCCTTGCCAATCTATTGGCCAGTTCTTTAAAATACTCCTATTAGCTTCCCTTTTTGCATTTCTTGTCTCAACATAAATAACAAGGGAGATTATAACAACGTTCAACCTTCCAGTGTTAAATTTGGCAAACATTTCTGATGAATCATTCAATGTACTGATTTTACATAAAATCTTTTCTCCGTTCTTAAAAACTCCGGTCAAACTTTTATGCCTCATGTTCGGCCCTTTACGCCGAGAGAATTAATGTATTTATCTGTCAGATAAATTATTTTGTTACTCTCCCATTTATTTTAATCATATTATTCATCATTTTTTTCCTCTGTATCTGATAAACTACATCCGGCAGCATTCTCTATCGCTTTTGAGGATTAGCCACATCTTCATTGCTGTTGTTCCTAACCCTGACACGGGTTTTCCTGTTGGGGTTCCATCTATGGGCAAATTTAACCCCGAACTTAGATCAAATTTATGAACCTAAAAAATAAATATATATTACCAGCAATATTTTTTTGAAAATATCAATCTATTGGACTCTCGACAAAAAAACCTTTTATAAAATAAATCCTTAATTTCAATAAAACCTCCTACAAGGTGATTTCTTGTATATATTCTATTCATATGAAATACTAAAAATACTGTCGGCATTATAACCCAATGAGGTTGATATACCGTAAAACAAAATTAAATTAAACCTTCCAATCTAAACCAAAGAATACATATTCTATTCATGAATCTATCCTAAAAATGTTGATTTTACATAATAACCCAATGAGGTTGATATTCTAAAACAAAATAAAAAACCAATCTCCAAAGAATACATTTCTATTCATGGGAATCTATCAAAAATGTTCGGCATTAAATAACCCATTGAGGTTGATATGCCGTAAAACAAAATAAACTGTCTAAACCAAAGAATATTTTTCTATTCATCTCCCCTAAAATGTTATTTTAATCATATTAGGTTCATCAAAACAAAATTGTCCTGGGTAAACCAAAGAATAATATTCTATTCATCCGGCAGCCTAAAAATGTTGTCGGTATTAAATAACCCATTGAGGTTTTGCCGAAAACAAAGAAACCAAACAATCTTCAAAGAATACATATTCTTATTCAGGAATCTACCCTAAAAATGTTGTCGGTTTGTATAACCCATTGAGGTTGATCTGCCGAAAAACAAATAAACCAAACCAATCTAAACTTAAGAATAATATTCTTATTCATAGGAATCTACCCTAAAAATGTATAAAAATAAATTGATTGATATGCCGAAAAACAAAGAAAAAACCAATAAACCAAAGAAATATTTTTTCATAAAAATATCAATTCTAGTATTAAATAACCCATTTTGATATCTCGACAAAAAAACCTCTTTAAACCAAAAATAATATTCTTATTCAATGTCAATAAAAATGTTGTCCCTGATCCCATTGAGGTTGATTTGCTTACAAAAGAAACCAAACCAATCTAAACCATATATTCTTATTCATATGAATCTATACTAAAAATACTGTCGGCATTAAATAACCCATTGAGGTTGATATGCCGAAAAACAAAGAAACCAAACCAATCTAAACCAAAGAATACATATTCTTATTCATAGGAATCTACCCTAAAAATGTTGTCGGTATTAAATAACCCATTGAGGTTGATATGCCGAAAAACAAAGAAACCAAACCAATCTAAACCAAAGAATACATATTCTTATTCATAGGAATCTACCCTAAAAATGTTGTCGGTATTAAATAACCCATTGAGGTTGATATGCCGTAAAACAAAATAAACCAAACCAATCTAAACCAAAGAATACATATTCTATTCATACGAATCTACCCTAAAAATGTTGTCGGTATTAAATAACCCATTGAGGTTGATATGCCGTAAAACAAAGAAACCAAACCAATCTAAACCAAAGAATACATATTCTTATTCATAGGAATCTACCCTAAAAATGTTGTCGGTATTAAATAACCCATTGAGGTTGATATGCCGAAAAACAAAGAAACCAAACCAATCATCAGCAATTTTAATAAATCCGTCAAAAATATTGTCTCCTTCACGACTTCTTGTTAACCTTCCACTGACTTCTTCGATGCCTTGAAGTACCGGGTTTTGACTCGAAGAATTCATCAGTTTTCAACTCCAAATCATTGTTGAACGAAACACCTCGCAGACTGTTGGAATGCGATGTTTGGTCCAAAGGATAGATTTTATCCGATGCTTGTGGCTAAAAGAAGGCACCGTCAGTGTGATAATACAGGCTGGAACAGTGATATAGACTGTTCTACCGAGGCTGTGACTGTTCGCAGCTCCGGTCGAACTATCTGCATTGGGCAGAGAGGAACCAGGACGAGGCTGTGCCGAAGGGCAGTCTCGTTCGGGAAGATAGACAGACTCGAACCTGTTTATGCGGGTTCTACGGGGATTTTTGGTGGAGCCTACTGGCTCGGATGACCCACTCGGTCTTGTGCCACGTGTACCCTCGTGAGGGGGATACTAAATATAATAATATAGGCTGTAATTGTCGATGTAGGGGCTAAACTGAGCAGTGCTTACTATTGCGATTTCATTGACAATAATTTCTTTGAATTGTAGATTCGCAGTTTCAAAGTTACGTGTGTGTTTATGCACGTTTATTCTCCAACTCAAGTACCTAAGATTACCTGTGCATTTTTTGCGAGTAAAATTTTCAGAGGAGAGAAGATAATGGAATGGCCACCATCAAGACATAATCTGAATCTGATCAAAATCTATGACCACTTGTGAAGAGGAAATTAGGTCGCAAACAATATGACAGCAAGTATATAAATATATATATATATATATTTGTGTGTGTGTGTGTGTGTGTGTGTATTTTAGTGTGAAATTGAGGAGCAGTGTGCAACATTTTGACATGAGAGGCACAGAAGTAATGACGCCATTCACGTCCACACGCAAAAAGCTATCGCGCTGACAAACTACAAAGCAATCCCTTTCTTTCCCTCTCTCTGCTAATTACGCTAAAAGCAAAAAGAGTGATGGAAAGTAGCCACGAAAAGAAACAGATACACAACTGCAAAGAAAGAAAGAAAGAAAGAAAGAAAGAAAGAAAGAGCAATTGATTAAAGACAATTTGGAGGGAAGGACTATTGGCATGATAGGCCAGTGGTCTTGAACTACAGATTGACCATAGGGAATATATATTGTGGAGATGAACACACCTTTCCAAAAGAGGACTTGGATTCGCCCAAATACATAAATACGGACGCCGAGAATCGTCAGTAGAAGGAGTAAATACTATCTGCTTACTACGTATTTCAGCAAGACTACGCAAACTCCAAGCGATTTACCACTTGATTGTGTTCATTCAATGAAATAAAGACATATCAATATGTAAGGTTGAAGGCTGCCTATCGTTGTTGGTAACCTTTCAAGAATTATGAATTTAACACTTTATTCAATCCAAACGGATAGATTTTCCTTATTTCACACTACCAGTGAATTGTCAAATTGGCCACAATGCTTAGGTTAAAGCTTTGGTTAAATGAATCTTGGAAGCTAGTAATTGTGAGTTCATTTTCTGTGATAGGGGCAGGGCAAGGAGCCATCTACTCTGGATCAGTGCAAAAGGCAAATGACATCCCAAGGACAGATTAACTTGAATTAATTAACTGATACGAGATTTCCTCTCGTATGGACAATGGAATGAGCTCAATCCTTGTGCTGGTTAGTACAAATAAGAGATTTGCTCTGGTTCTGAGAACGAGACAAGTGACATCATAAGGAAAAATTGCATGAATTAACTGATACGAGACTTCCTCTCATATGGATAGTGGAATGTTTTCAATCCAAGGGCTGTGTTAAGAATGAACAGAATCTACACGCGAGAAAAAATAATTAGACGGAAAAGAAATGAGTGAATAAAATCGAAGAGAAATTAAAATTATTGTTGAAGAAAGTAAAAAGAAGAATTAAACGAAATGTGGAAAGAAAGCAAATGTGACAAAGAATAGAAATTAAATTCGAATTCTGTGTAAAGAATGAAATGATACAAAAAAAAAGAACAAAACATCACGGAAATTTATCAAGGAAGGAACGAAGAAAGAAAGAAAACTAAAGGAATACATTGTAAACTAATGTGTCTCTGATTTCTGGAGATTAAATGATAAAAGAAAAAGAAAGAGAAAACTCGGAAGTTTCCAATATCGACAAAATGGCGACTCAACACAAACAAAACACCACAGTAATGCTTTTATAATTTCGTCGTTTGGAAACGCTATCTCGTGAACACATTTGCCAGTAAAGTCAATGCAGCGTTATGCTGCGTCATGATGGCGTTCAGTTTGTGATGATAACACGGCTCACGAGCCTTTTATTCAATAGCCGTTGTTAGCACGAACAACACAAGAGACATACCCGACTCCAACGAGACGCTGACACTAGACTCCCTTTTCCAACATTCCTGGCACAGATTTACACGTAAGAAAAAAAAAGAGAGAGAGTTTGTTATGGCTCATCTAATAATGTAGTTCTTTTTATTTTTTTTTGGGGGGGGGGAGATTTATTTTTGGAAACCACTAATCCAGAAATAGATCGGTCTGTCTTAACTTCAAGCCATTTGCCTTCTTTTTTTTTAA